ACCATGTTCAAACAAATAATACGTCAATTATTTTCTTATTAAACAATATTTAGATTATGTTTCTACTACTTTACCTTATCATTCCAATTAGATATCGTTGGTACAAATTGTATCATCCTCATTTGATGTAAAAATTCTCTAATCAATGAATATTTGAATGTAATTGAAAGAATTTCAAGAGCAGGTACATGTTCAATAACATATTCAATAAAATAACCAAATACAATTTTAATATATAAATAACGAAGTGTCATACAATTCGTATTAAGTTGATTATCAATTTCACTTGAATAAATATCATAATATGGTGAAAAAGATTCATGTATTCGATAATCCGAACTATCATTTATCATATTAAGTCGAAGACAAGTTAATTGACATTTAGAAGAAAATAATTGACGTATTATTTGTTTGCACATCGTCGTTAGTTTTTCAGCTATTTTATTTAAAAATAAATACATAGGGCAGTCAAAAAGTTCTCTCACTCAGAACAAATTGTTCAATAGAAAGACATTGCACTTCTCTCTTTACAACAAATGTTAGAAGGAATCCCTGTAATGTTAGATAACAACTTCAATTCAATTTTGAAATGTTCTTTCGTATGTATAGGAGGGTATCATGTTGAATCCTCGGTTAAAACTTTAGTTAAATTTGTTTCTTAAGCATTGAAAACTTAGACAAGCTTAAAATGAGTACATAGGCAATTATGTTAAATGACCACTGGTGATGAGATGTAGATTTACCCTAGCAAGACTAGATGGAAGCAGTAGCCAAAATTGTAAATAACACACGGGAAGAGAGTTCTTTATCTGGCATTAGAAGAGAACATTGTTTGTAATCTGTTTCGTTACAACTGAACGTTACTTATTCATCAGGTACCTTCTATGGTGTATATTAAGGCTGTCCATTATTGCAATGAATGTTTAAAACTATTATATAAAAAGTTATTAAACAAAAAGTCATCATCAGAAACCATCGATAATAAGTTTCACTATCACAATGTCAATCATATATAAAAGTTGTAGCTATTCATTATCTTAAAGAGGAAATAATTAACTTATGGGTTATTCGCTACTGTCGTCCGACTTTGTTCTTTCAGATTTTCAGTTGATCAGTCACCTCTAACATACACTATATAAATATCCACATGTAACAGCTTTTTCTAAGTTTTAATCGAGAATTCAACTTGATACCCTCCAAAAAATACGAAAGAACATTTCAAAATTGAATTGAAGTTGATATCTAACTTCACAGTGACTCATTCTAACATTTGCTGTCGAGAGAGAAGTGGAATGTCTTTCCATTGAACAATTTGTTCTGAGTGAGAGAACTTTTTGACTGTCCTGTTTATAATATACACGATGTCCTTTATGGCGCTTTACACATTTTTGCTACATCTAGATATCATTTTTCATTATTTATTACTGATATATTATTATTTATTGTCAAAGGCACGATCAAAATCTCTTATAGGCACTAAACAATGAATTATAAATTCTAACTAATAAATATATACTTACATACAGTTTTCAGTTTTGTTCAAGGTGACTTTTGGATACACTCTATCAGAAGCGGCGTGAACTGGGGAGGAGAAGGATACCTCCTCGGCTTTGAGAATTTTGACTCAGGTTTTCTTTAAATGTAGAGAGATTAATTAGGAATCATTCAGGATTAGAAAGTTTTTTTTGTTTGTGTACTCGTTTTTCTAGATGTGGTTGACTTTTCATGGGTTAGGAAAATCCTCGTAAAGCTATACTCCCTCTTGATTCCGGTTAGGGCTTTCCATGGAACATAGGAGATCTCCAAAGCTAGCTCTCTCCCCCTGCTTTATTATTACTTTAAGAAAACGAAAGTTCTTTGTCTGTATTGGATGTTCCCTCTGCTATGGCTTAGTCGCACCACTCCTGCATCCTATATATTATTTTTTAAAGAAAACTTAGAGTCAGGTCCTGTAATTCTGTAGGAAAAAATTTTGCTTCACAATGATTGGTCGATAAATAAGTCGATCTATATGCATACGATTACAGACTAATAAGATTTTGTTTTACAGAACACATCGGAACATGAGAGGGGCCCTTTTTTTACTTTATTTTCTCAGTATTCCTAAATATGCCACTGTTTCAACTGACAATTCTTTGGTTTCAATGTCAAATGGAATATTCTTCGAAATAGAGCAAGATTTTATGAAAATACTTGGCTTTGTTGTGATTAGAGTCCGTCATAATCAAAGAGAAATAAATGTGGAAATCTCGGATTTAAATTCGAGAGTTATGTGTACTTCAAAAAGTGAATTAGACAGATGAGTCATCCTAAAATGTGTGGACATCAAAATCATCCTGGCAAACCTTCTCTATAAACACTTGAATTCTATTGGCTACTGCTCAACCAATGGCATTTCGAGGCAAGTGGAGTACAGATTCGAGTTCTCCGCCCCAGAAAACCTCGAAGTACCATCTCTGTGATCGAAAGATAGAGCTCTAATTGTGGATAAATCAGAGCGTGGACAAAAACAGAACCAATTTCCGTTTAATTATCTTTGCATTAGGTGGGCTAGCCTTCTTGTTTCTTTATGTTTTATATACCATTTTGTAGCTCGTGAAATTCTCTATCGAATAGTATGTAATAATTGGGGTTTTATTTGGCTATGATAGGAAAAGTTGTTCACGAAAGCGGGAAGGGGTCGATTTTCGCATAGGAAGGCATAGGGGAAAATGACTATTTTTGCAATAACTCAGGAACGGCTTGGCCAATCATTCTCATCTTCGAACTCGACCGAGATATTGTTGAGACTAAACTGCGTAGAAAATTTCATCGCGATCTGACTCTCCTTCCAAAAGTTACCGTGTAAACGGCCGGACGGACACACTGACCGATTCTAGAGTGTAATCACTTTTTGAGTACACAAAAAGAAACTAACTTACCTGAAAATGCTCGTTTTTATCCGTTCAGAATTATACTCAACAACTTATCTTTTACCATCGACTGCGTTCCCATTGGAGCTTAAATATTCTCTACAATATAGTACGCGAAAGAGAAAATTATACTCTACAAAATGGATTACTTTTGATCTTAGTGTCTGCATGAGAAAGGATCGAAATGAATTGATTACTAAGACAGACCGAAAATTTTAGAAAGCTGCGTTTCTGACTTCTAATTTACAGGTGATTTCAATTCTAAGCCTGCTATTGGAAAAAGCATCAGACATGCTTTTCTAACCGTTACTTTGTCGTAGAAAGATAATGTTCATTTATTTATTTATTTTTGATAAACATTAAAGAATCGTTTTTCCTACAAGATTGTTGTATATGAAGTGAAAATTAACTTTATTTAAATGAATTACATAGCTTTGTTTTGTCTTTAAAGATAGTTGTATTGAGAAATAAAGCCAAGATTTTTTCGGACAAAACAATTCAGAATTGCATCTTTCATGTTATTTTGTTCATAATTTGACACACTTTTGACTAAGATATACTCTACTAACAAGGTACATTCATCCGGGTAAGCTGATCAGTTTGTAAACTGAAGGTCACGAGATCAGTACTCTATATATTCATTTCTTTTCTGGTCTCTTTAGGTAATTCCGCAAAGATCCTGTCAAGAAATCTGATAAAATCCTAGAGAAAACCTTGATAAATCGTGCCAAGATCTCGTCAAGAAACATGATAATATCTCAAAGAAAGCCTGCTAAGGTCCTGCAAGATATAACCAGAATTTTTTCATTAGGAATCGTTGAAATGCTAGTAGGATCCCTCTAAGATCTGGTTTGAATCCTGTGAAAAACTTGAACATTTCGTGGCTACACGTTTTTCTCAGAATCTTATCGCTTTCTTAAGAAAAAATAGCCAAACCTTGACGAATCTGTTTAAGATCTGGAACGGAAATATTACATTTTTTTTCATAAAGTTACTTTAAAAATACCCATTGACTATGAAGAAGAATAGCACTAATAAACGAAAGCGTTCTTATAAGGAAAACCCTTTTTTGGAATACAATAAGAAACTAAAAAAGTTTGTCGCACACCTATTGATTTCTTGTTAAAAGACAAATAACTTTTTGGTATGTACATTAAAAATTATTCCGAAAAATAGATTTTATACAGAATTTTGTGCTCTATTGATTCATGTTCTCTCGCTACCTTTATCTCAATCTCTATACTTACAGAGTAAACCAACTACTATGTCAATCATACAATAAGAGACAAATTTGGAAAGACGAGCAGGACAGGCAGAAAATCACTAATTGTAGTTTATCTGAAACAGAAATAAACAAATTGAAGACGAAACTTTTATCAAATTGTACGCATAAAATAAAGGATTAGTGTACGATTTCATTTATTTCCATGGAATACTTGCTGGACGAGTGGAATAATAAGAAAGGTAGATAAAACAAACTCAAGCATTTCGAATTTTTTTTTTCGAAAGTGGCAAAACATCAAAAAGCAAAATATCGAAAATTACAAAATTTGTAGCTATAATGTCCAAGTCTTGCTCAAGTCTGTCGTGAACAAATCATAAAAGAACAACGAGCGTACAGTCCAATAGTATAGGGACCAAAGAGCTTTTGACTGAAAACCATGTGGAATCGTATCCAAATCCAACATATTCTCCGGATCTAAGTCTATGTGACTACTTGGTGTTTCCGAAACCTCAAAAATCATATAGGTGAACCTCAATTTGACGACGACAATGTAATATTGAACGCACTAGAACCAGCCATTGACGGCTTCACACAGAAGACAGTTTTGAAAACTGCTTCAATAACTGATTACTCAAATGCACCAATGTATTGATGCTTAGGGACAACATTTTGAAAAAAACTTACACTAGAACTAGCTTTTAAATATTTGTCTAAAGGAATAATGAAAAGTCTCTTCCAGTACCTCTTATGTATACTCACGGGAGTGAGGATGATAATAAAAACAAAATAACTATTATATACTCGTTTTGATCCATCACAGTATATAAACAAACGAAAAAGAGGAAGTGGAAATTGTTTCATTTCGTGATCTTCCTCTTTGGATTACTTAACTCGCCGCCTTTATCGGAATCTAGATATTCACGAGAAAGAACAAATGTTGGGGAAAAACACAGCCAAAGAGGTAATTAAAAAAAAACAAAATCACTATCATATACTCATCTTGATTTCATGACACTATGTATGCAAATTAAAAAAGAGGAAGTGGAAATTGTTTCATTTCATGACCTTCCTCTTTGTGTTATTTAACTCGCCGCCTTTATCTGAATCTAGATATTCACGTGAAAGAACAAATGTTGGGGAAAAACACAGCCAAAGAGGTAATTAAAAAAAAACAAAATCACTATCATATACTCATCTTGATTCCATGACATTATCTATATAGACGAAAAATAGGAAGAGAACGTTGTTTCGTTTCATGATCTTTCTCTTTGTATTATTTAACTTGTCGACTTCATCACAATCTACATTTTCACGAGAGAAGTCAACTATTCCGGTAAAAACAAAACAACAATGTCCAAATTTCTTGAATTCCGAACTCTTGAAGAATTCTGAACTCTGAACTGAAACATAAATCGAAATGAATAATTAATTAGCATCCATAATGTAAGAAAACCGACGTATGTAAGAAAAGTTTTTGTAAGTTATCCAGAAACAACCGAACTGAAAGCACTTGAGCATAGGAAGGAAATTATAACGGGTGCGCTATAATGAATGAGGGTTTCAGTATTTTTTAAATATCTCCCTAAGTTTTCATCTCCCAGACCGAATTTTTTATTTCAAAGATGTGTTAGATGGTTCTCCACAAAACCAAGTATTTTTATTAGTACAAATAATTTCCGTTGTTTTTGGACAATCGACACAATCGATTTGTCCATGACAAGCAACTTTCAAAAACAACATCCTGACGAATTTCCTTAACAGAACGTTTTAGTTCGACAATTAGAGTCGTTTTCGATATCACTTTATTCCATTTGATTGTTTGAACAAGCTCGTTTCAAACGTAGTAGTCCAACGGATTTAAATCAAGACTATTTGGAGGCCAATGGCTCTGGTCGATGAACGAATGAAAGTTTTTGGCGCACCATTCTTGTGATTTTTCATGAATGTGTAGCTTCACACCATCTTGCTGGAAGACTCAATCGTTGCCAGACACCTTGTTACCATGATTCAGAGCCACTGGCAACACCTCTTTGGTATAGCGATCGTGATCGGCTGTGCCGTTCTCGAAGACAACTAAAGATGACACTCCTTTAGAACAAACTCCGAGTCAGACCATAACCTTGTGCGGAAATTTCCGTTTTTGCCTAATACCACCTTTGATATTGGCTTCTGTACGGTTTACCGCCCATATTTGGTCATTCTGAGAATTATAGACCTCATCTATGTCGAACATTTTTTCGTCAGAAAACAGAGTTTTTATCGTGTCTTCTTTTCGGAAATTTATTCGTATCCAATTTGCAAACTTCATTCTTTTTTCTTTATGCTCATCGGTGAGCAATGGTTCAGTTTGCATTTTATAGGCTCGGAGTTGGAGATCATCCTTGAGCAGTCTACGAACATTTGTATGAAAAATGCCCAATTCACGTGCTAGCTGACGAGTAGACACTTTCTTCAGTCGATTCACTCTTTTCTTGATTTTTGAATCGTTGCTTTTGTTCGAATCGTCCGTGGTCGATCGGTTGACCTTGACAGATTGATCGAGCCACTCTCACGAATCATTTTGACTATCGTTCAATTGTTGCAAGACTGATGGCACCGTTTAGATTACGAAAGATCTTTGTGGGTCCATCACCATTTTCGTACTTTGAAAATACGAATTTTTAGTAGAAAAGGATATCAAGGAACTCAAGAAATCCAAGAAAACGATGGAGTTCAAGGATACGGAGGCACCTCAGGGTTCCATCTCGAATTGAAAATGCTTCAGAATTTATGACACATCTGCAACTGATCAGTGATAATCAGACAAAGGAAACAGAGCAGTCTTTTATAATACAAATCTGTCAGACATGTAAGAAATCTTGTTATTGTTACTATTTCAAAGATATGATTGTTCTGCAAGAGAGAAAGTTTTTCAGTGTTTGAAGTTTTATTTTTCACAAAAACTGATTATGGGTGAATTTTAGAATAGTCTATTTGTAAGGTTAATGAACTGACATGCATATAGTTGTAATTGAGTATGTAGTCAGAAGATCGTATATTTTCTATTATACAATCCTTTCGATGCTGCATATGTATTCGACTGATGAATGTCGTATTGATGTTCTATGATGTGTCATAAATTTCTAAAGCACTTTCGATTTCAGATGAATCTCTCGGGTATCTCCGTATCCTTGAAATTCATCGTTTCCTTGGGTTCTCTGGATTCCTTGATATTCTTGAAGTGTTTTTGTTTGTTTCTTTCATCCTATATTTCGGTTTCTTAGCATTCATACATGTTAATTGATTTTTGAATTAAGAGTTCGGAATTCATGGAATTTGGACACGTCTAAAATATTTTGATTTTATGGCGAAATATCCCTTAGTTGGTTGTGAAATTTTTTGCAAACTTCAACATCTCAGACCGTCATATCGGATTTTGACAAATTTTCTTGTGAAATCACCCAATTTTTTGTTAGGGTTATAATAGTCTAATTGAGATCAAAATCTACTAAATCTTTATCAAATGATAAGTCGATTTTCTTGAGATTCTTCTATAAAATTTACATTGATATTTCTTGCACGCATGAATGTCATTCATATTTGGCTATAGATTGCTAGCTGTTTCTGTTTTCGAATTAGTCAACTTAGGAACAACTCTATTCACATTAATGCCAATATTAGTGCCGTAAAGTTCAATCTGAATATTAAAAAATTGTTTGATATTATTCTCTCAAATTTCAAGAGTTTAGTTATCATTTATCGATTGAATACTGAACTGAACGATAACATAAGTAAGCATATATATTTACAAAGAGCTCTAAATCCTACTTGTCCCGCCAAAGGATTATTTTCTCACACAGCTAGTAGATAATTGTTTGAAAGAGGAACACAAAAAAACCTACCTTCAGATATGACATCATGTACACAAAATCAAAATCCATTTCTACATGCCAATATATGGTCGCGATGCTTTCACAGGTAAATACTCTTAGCCGTTTTATTTGTCAAGTATGATTCTTCTCTTTATAGCTGGATAGCTCATTTGCTGACAAAAAATCACAAACACGGTACACTTCATCTTACTGATCTGTACGATCTTCTACCGGAATTTGAATCTACAAAATTGACGGATAAACTTGAAGCAAATTGGTTTGATGAAATCAAACAATATCCACAAGAGCCAAGTCTTATTCGAGCTACATTACGCACTATGGGATGGAAACCACTTCTCGTCGGTTGTCTACTTATCCCAACTGTAAGTAAACTGTGATGTTTATGTTAACTATGAGCCATGTGTATAAATACAGGAATTAGCCAAGTTTTCTCAGCCAATTTTACTAACATATCTCATGGGATTTTTTGAGCCATGTTCTAAAATGTCTATTTGGATGGCATGGCTTTTTGCTACGGGAATGATCATTGCTGCTGGATGCTCAAATTTTTTGTACAATCTTGTAAGTTTTATCTGTGTTTGTATCGAAAGTAGGTGACTTCTTTCTTATTTAGTATTTTTATCGTATGGCTATGTTTGGTTTAAAATTACGCTCCGCTTATGTAGGTCTCATCTTTAGAAAAGTAAGTATAAATAATTGCAAATAAATTGTTCACTACTTATCAACATATATGTACAGGTACTTCGTTTGTCAAGTCATTCAATGAATAATCTTAATTCAGGACAAATTACGAACTTGCTATCTAACGATTCGGAGCAAATTGATTGGACTCTATGTTTTATTCATTACTTATGGGTAAGTTACCGTGCATATTATGTTTTCTAAATTAAGAAATTGGTACAACACGCCCTATTTCCTCATATTCTTACGTGATCACATTGTGAATATTACTCTTCATCTTTTCTATTTCATATCAATAACATCGATGTTACTCTATAATACAGTTTCTACGTCGTGTTTATCCGTATATAGCGTGTTAACAGGCGATCGAGCTTGATTAATGAACGAGATGTGAGCAATACATCTTGAATTTATTCGCGAGAACAAATTGACTATCGATGACACTGATGATTGTTGAATATCAAAGCTGTTAACAGAATTCACGACTTAGCTAACCACGATTCTATGAAAACTTTGATACCTGGCTTTTTTTTGCAAGAAACGAAAGAGTATGGTTGAAAATTAATAGATTCAATCTTTCAAAGTTTTGAAATTCGATGTTCAATTGTGATGAAGAAAATATTGATCACATGTTACACATTATTGTAAACTATTGCTCATAATATATCATAACTATTAGGGGATGTTGGTGTTCTCCCTGCCTCTTCATTAAATCACTACTTAACATGTACGGATACCCATATACACAACGACTACACTACATCAGACCAATTAGAACAGAAAGAAACGCGCATATATATATGTCCGTTCCGCACATCCAGGGTAAACGAAAGAGAAAACGAATACAAGAAAAAGAAGATAATGTGATCGAAAGATATTGTACCGAAGAAAGAGATGATATTGTAATAAGTAAAGAATGACATCACATCGAGGGGACAGAGAAAGAATATTAGAATATGCGAGGGCAGGTCCGTAACAATAAGATAGAGCAAAAACATCCTCTACAAAATTGTATATTTAATCGGTTATTATATCCTATTTATGAATCACGAGATCCGAAAAACAAAAAGACTAGCAACAGTCATGTTTACTTTTTTTTCATCAGATTTGCATTTATCGAAGATTTGAGAGTGATCATTGTGCACAATAGCATTGAGTAAATGAAAGAGATACATAATATGTGTTCCTTGAATTCTATATTATTAGTGAAATAATCTGTTTTTTCTGCTGTTTTTATTTCTAGGTTGCTCCTCTTGAAATTACACTTGTGATCATTTTCTTTTGGAAATTTGTTAAATATATTGCTTTTGTAGCCGTCGGTTACACGCTTATACTTCAATTTATTCGAGCCATTTTCGGTCGTTTTATTGGTAGTTTGATGTAAGTCTTTTTTATTAATTAACTTTTCCTGATAATTGTTCTCTTTCTATTGATTGTAGAACGAAAATTTTACAAGCAACTGATGAACGTGTAAAAATTATGTATGAAATAATCAAATCAATCCGTATTGTCAAAATGTCTTGTTGGGAATCGACATTCGATAATAAAATTCGTCGCGTGAGAAAGTCAATTGAATTTACAATTTTCACATATATATATATATATGTGTGAAATTTTGAGATCTCTTCTAGATGTGAAATCATTCAATGTGCTATTCGTTTACTTATTGACTGTTTTCAATTATTTTTTTCTCATACTTACATTGCTGTGACACTTCTGATGATGTATGCAACAATGTGGTCATTGAATATTCGATTTGATACACGTTTTTTCGCGCTTGCTACCTGTATGCTTAGTTATATGCGATTATCAGTCATTGATTTTTTTAATCTCGCTGTCCGCAGTCTTGCTCAATATATGGCTGCCAAACAGCGTATTCAGGTTAGTTATGGTATTCTAGGATATAATCTATGAATGTTGAACAATGTTTAATACAGACATTTCTTCTGCTCTCAGAATCAGAGCGAGACGATCGACTATTATCCCAATCACTGTTAGAGTTTGTGTCTAATTCAAAAAAAGAACAAATCGTACACGAAGATACAACAACGAAATTGCCAAACGTCTTTTGCCATTTGAAACGAGCACAATGGGAAAAGGTATATTTTCGTCTTAAAAATTAATTCAAGTTTGTAATTATTTCTTTAGGATGGACCATTCTCACTAAAAAATATTACGTTCAATGCTCGTCCAGGTGATTTAATTTGTATTATTGGTCCTGTCGGAGCGGGCAAGGTCGGTAATTCATTCTAAAACTCAAATATTGATTATTATTATTATTTTTGTTGTACAGAGTTCTATTTTACAAACATTGACGGGTGAAATAGCTTATTTCGAGGGAAAAGTTCGATTGCATGGCTCAGTTTGCTATGTACCACAAGAATCATGTAAGTGTTTTCAATGTAATCAATAAAAATAAAATGGACAATATTAGGGATCTTTTCGTCGACTATTAAAGAAAACATTCTATTCGGCAAAGAATACGACCACAAATTATTTCAGCGTGTTATTCATGCAACTGCTCTCGATTCTGTATGTTGCTTAATAATAAATTCCTAATAGTATTGTATCACTTGTTTATAAATATGGGATAGGATTTTGCTCAATTACCATATGGGGCAAATACTCTTGTTGGCGATCAAGGTGTCATGCTATCGGGAGTAAATAGATTCTCATTCAAAAAAAAGACTAATGTATATGTTTTTGTTTTCTTCTTCTCTAGGGTCAAAAAGCACGTGTCAATTTGGCACGAGCACTTTATCGTGATGCAGACATCTATCTATTGGATGATCCTCTATCTGCTGTGGATGTCAAAGTATCAAAACATCTCTTTGAAAAGTATGTCAATCATGATGTATCTCGAGAAAAGTGAAATTGACATTTTTCGATCTCAATTGGAATAGTTTTGTTTTGTACTGAGAGCTAAACCAATAGTAGAGTACATCACTTTTACACAAACAAAAATTGTCTTACTGCTTATTCAAATAATTAGCAGTATATGAGACTTATGAATCACACGCTTTAGAACTTATTATTTTGGTATCTCGATTTCCATTAGTCATGAGCACGAATGCTCTCACTAAAGCCTACTTACTAGATATTACATGAACTTAATCGAGTCGGACAGTTGAAGATATTCTCTCATCAATAGACAAACTGCAAGTGCCATCCGAATCATCTACGAATGAGTACTCAGAGAGGTGTACGAGTTCATGAGAGAAAGCCAGTGGAATATATTGACTAGTGTGCAATTCGATAGATTGAGCAAGTAGTCAGACTTCAAACTACATATCACTGTCAAAATCGAAAAATTTTCGCTGTATAAGTCAAATTTTTTTTCACTCATGTTTCGATCGACTACTTGTTTTTTTCTTTTGATTTTGACTCCCAAAATATTCATCCATTTAAATTTACATTAAGCAAAAAAGAGATTGTAGTTTTTCAACTTCAAGATAATACTTAAAATGATAGTTGTCTCTAGCGGACAGGAAAACATTCTTTTCCTCTTTCTTCCGATTCGACGATCAGACACGCCTTCAAATCTACATTTTGTGGAGCGTACTTTATCGAATTTCTTTTTCCATTTCCAATTTGGAATGACTACTTGAGAACGACAATGTTTCACTTGAGACTGCTTTATATTAATTGACGAATTATGCAATAAATACGAAAGTAGCTGATGATTTCGTTCTTATCAATATTTTCAACCATCAAACGTATGTGTTTTACAATTTTTCATCTCTTTAGAAGATAAAATCGTTTTCGAACGACTTCCATATGCAGTACAAAAAACTTTGAAGCCTATTATAAATCATGTATTTTTATTTTAGATCGATTAAGAGCTGTCTTGGCCATAATATCTGTTTTCTGGCTACACATCAAGTACAATTCTTGCGATATGCGACGACAATTATTATTCTTGATAATGTAAGTCTAGAAATCATATGAAATGAAGTTTTTGATGACAGAATCAGTTTCAATATTGTAGGGTCAATTGATACAGATGGGTACATATGCACAATTACTTGATTCTTCATCATTGTTCGCTAGCCTTCTCAAAGAAACTCATCAGCAACAACAAAATCAATCAGCTAATCTTGAAAAACAATCTTCGATTGAAGATTCAAATTTAATAGAAAAACAAGACACAGAAACAATCTCATCATTACCACCGACAAATATCGAGATGAAACAAGAAGGAACAATCAAATGGCGAGTATATGTCTCATATTTACAAGCTAGTGTTAGCCTTCCTATTGCTTTACTTCTTATTGTACTTCTGTTTTTTGCTCAACAAACAACAGCTTTATTTAGTACTTGGTGGTTAGCAAAATTAAATGATGATGAAAGTTATCGATATCAGATTTTTAAGAATTGCACGACTATGAATATTCATAAGAGTAATACAATGCGGTTAATGAATGATTATGAATGGAAAGAACATCGAAATCGAGAATTCTATACTTATTGTCGTGTGTATAAAGTGAACGCTTTATACTTGAAAATTTCGAATCTTTTTTTTTCTAGTCATTGTACTTGTTCTCCTTTTCCTCACTCTTCTTCGAACTGTCGTCATCATATTCATATTTTTAAATGCAAGTCGTGTGCTACATAACAAGTATTGATTTTTAAGATTATTTATTTATTTTAATTTTGTCTCTTGTGAATAGAATGTTTCGACGACTGATTCGTTGTTCTATTTCCTTTTTCGATATGAACCCATTTGGTACGTGAATTAATAACAATCTAATCTCCGACGTTTGTTTCCTATTACAGGTCGAATCTTAAATCATTTCGCCAAAGATGTAGCCATTATGGATGATACGTTACCATTGACCTTTTTTGAGTTTCTCTATGTAAGTTAGATAATTTTTGCATAATAATTTACATTTTAATTGACTTCTTCTTGTTCTTCAGTATTGTTTTCTTGTATTGGGCATAGTGACATTAGTTTGTTGGCTAAATCCATGGTCACTCATACCAGCTGTCATGGCTGGTAGTGTCATGATACTGTTACGTAATTGTTTTTCTCGATGTTCACGTGATTTGAAACGACTTGAAAGCTTGACACGTAGTCCTATCTATTCACATTTGACATCGACTATTCAAGGACTTAAAGTTATTCGATCTTATCGTGCAGAAGCCATGTGTTTAGCAGAATTTCATTCTCATCTTGATAATAATATACGTGCCGAGTATTTACATACTACAGTAAATCAATGGGCAACAATTCGTTTCGATTGGATTGCACTTATCTTTATAACTTGTATCACATTTCTTGTTGTAATTGTACGAATCGCTCAATATCATTTTACAGTGGCCGATATTGCTCTAACACTTTCCTTTAGTCTTAATCTCACAGGTCTTCTCCAATGGATGATCAGGTACAGACCATTTGAACTAAGTATTTGTTTTAATTATCAATTATTGTAGACAATCTGTAGAAGTCGAGACACAAATGACAGCTGTAGAACGTGTACTCGAATATTGTTCACTCGAGCAAGAACCATTTACTCAAGTATCATTCAATTGTTGTCCACCGATAAATTGGCCATCGCATGGACGAATTATATTTGATAATGTATCCATGTCTCATTCAACAGATGAACATTCACCGCTTGTTTTACAAAACATTTCGATGACGATCGATGCTGGCGAGAAAGTGGGCATTGTTGGAAGAACAGGTGCTGGCAAAACTTCTTTCATTCAAACACTTTTCCGAATAGGCACTTTAATCAATGGTCGCATCATAATCGATAACATTGATATTGCTTCTGTGGGATTGAATGACGTACGACATAGAATCTCGATCATTCCACAAGATCCCGTTCTTTTCATAGGCACAATAAGAAGTAATCTTGATCCATTTGATCGTTATTCAGACACTGAAATATGGCGTGCGTTGGAAGAGGTCATTATTTAGTCTATATCTGAAATGGCAGTGTGAATTTCTTATTGTTACAGGTACAATTGAAGACATTAGTGACGAAAGGCATGTCGAAAGGACTTCACTCTGTAGTGAGTGAGAATGGCTCTAATTTGAGTGCCGGTCAAAAGCAGCTCGTATGCTTGGCGCGAGCTATTTTGAAGAAAAGCAAAATACTTGTTATTGATGAAGCTACTGCTAATGTTGATCATATGTGAGTGGAAAATTTTCATAGAAATAAAGTAATCAGAATATTATTATTTAGAACGGACGAGCTAATACAACGAGTCATCCGTGATAAATTCAGACAATGCACAATTCTTACTGTGGCTCATCGTTTGCGTACAGTGATCGATAGTGATCGTATTATGGTAATCGTATATCTAATTCCATTCTTTTTCTTTATATATATATTACTCGTTACTGAAGGTACTTGACAATGGAAAGTTGCTAGAATTTGATACACCCAAAATGCTACTATCCAATCCTAATTCTCATTTTCTTTCGCTTGTCGAACAGATGGAATCTGCTGAAGTAGAACATCTTATAACACTAGCAAATGCTGCCACAACAAACAGGAAATCGAAAGTACAAAGAAACGATATTGGCAAGAAACTACTGTCAGATTCCAACGAAAACGATCCTCTTATCTTCTAGATGTCATCTGTTATAATATAATAGCTCGATCAATGATTATTTTACACTAATTTTTTTCTCCAGTTTTATCATTCAACTAAATAAACAAGATGTAACGTTAAGGGTTTGTGTGAATTTGTATTTTATGTTTAATCAGAAGAGAAAGCATGTAAAGAACTACATATTAAAATATAAACATTCAACAGGACTCTGCTATACGGTTTCAATCGCCAAACTACCAAAAAATAGAAGAAAAAGATAAAAAGAAAATGAAAGAAGGAAGATAACCAAGATAAGAAAATAACTCGAAGTATTTGTTGATTAACATGCTAACATTCGAATACATTTGTGTGTGGGTGTGGGTGTGGGTGTGGGTGTGGGTATGGCTGGGTGTGGGGTGGGTGTGGGTGTGGATGTGGGTGTGGGTGTGGG